AAGGGGAGGCCTGTCCCTTCCCACCAGCCTGCTGCTGCTGCTGCTGCTGCTGTTGCTGTTGCTGTTGCTGCTGCTGGTGGTGGGCGCCTGTGCTTGAAGGTGTCTCCTCTGCTGCTGCTGCTGCTGTCCCTTAATACTGCAGCACGAAGGCCCTGCACTCGCTGCTGCGCATGCAGCACAGCCCTCGCCATAAAGGAGACAGAATCAAAGGGTTTCTCTGCTGCTGCTGCTGCTGCTGCTGCTGTGTCTTGCTGCTGCTGCTGCTGCAGGTTGGTCGCATTTCTGCTGCGTCTTTCCTTCCATCGTATTACCTCTTGCTGCATGCGTTTCTCTGCTGCTGCTACTAGAGGTGCAGCAGCAGCAGGAAATGCTGCTGCTGCTGCTAATATCTTGCTGCGTGCTGCTGCTGTCTCCTTAGGAGACAAAGAAGTACCCATTTGCTGCACATGGCAAGACAGTGCTTCTGCTGCTGTTGCTGCTGTCTCCCCTAGAGAGCAGCTTTTTGCTGCTGTTCCTGCTCCTCCTCTTGCTGCTGCTGCTGCTGCTGTTGGTGGGGCACCTGTATCTCCCACTTGCTGCTGCTGCTGCTGCTGCTGCTGTTGCTGCTGCTGCTGCTGCTTCTCGTCTATAGGGCTAATGAGCATACTTTCTGCAGCAGCAGACCCAGGCCAGGTGCGAGCATCCCATGAGTGTCTCTTTGCTGCTGCAGTATTTCCTGCTGCTGCTGCTGCTGCTGCTGCTGCTGCTGCTGCTCCTAGGTCATCTAACTCTTCTGCAGCAAACTCCATGTCTTCGTCGTCAATATCTTGATGAAGGAAACTCATAGGTCGGGTGTCTACAGGGGGCAGCACAGGACCGTTATTTTCTTGCTGCTGCTGCTCCTGCTGCTGTTGCTGCTGCTGCTGCTGCTGTTGCTGCTGCTGCTGCTGCTGCTGCGGTGGGTGACCCCAATTGAAGGAGAGACTATCAAAAAATCTCTGTGCTGCATTTGCTGCTCCTTGCCACATATTTTCTGCAGCAGCAGTTGCATTTGCTGCTGCTGCTGCAGCTCCTGCTGCAGCAGCAGGCTCTCCACCACCAGCAGGAGCAGCAGGAGCAGCAGCAGGAGCAGGAGCAGGAGCAGCAGCAGCAGGAGCCTCTGCTGGTCTAGGAGGATCAAAGAAATTAAATGGCTGTTGGGTGTCTTGAGCTCGTGGCCGATTAAAAGAGGAAAATAAACCACCAAATATGTCCCCCTCCTGCAGCACAGCAGCAGCAGCGGCAGCAGCAGCAGCAGCAGCAGCAGCAACAGCAACAGCAGCAGCAGCAGCAAGAACAACAGTAATAGTAGTAAAAGGAATGAACATATCTGCAGCGGCAACTCGTAGACATGGCCTGAGAGAATGTGCTGCTTCTGCATCAGCTGCTGCTGTTCCTGCTCGTGCTGCTGCTGCTACTGCTGCTGCTGCTATTGCTGCCGCTGCTACTGCTGCTGCTGCTGCTGCTGCTGCTGCATACCTGCGGTGCTGAGTACACCCTCTTAGCTGTGAGGACAGCTGAGAGGCAAAATGCCAACAAAAACAAATTAGGAAAACTCATCTTCACACAACCCCTAAACCCTAGACCCTAGACCCTAAACCCTAAACCCTAAACCCTAAACCCTAAACCCTCAACTCTAAACCCTAAAACAAATTCCAGATTCAAATTGAAGACAGACTCCTGTGGGGGCCCCTATGGGCAGCGGGCGGCACCTGGCTGCCGGGGGCCCCTAAACCCTAAACCCTAAACCCTAAACACTAACGTGTTGTGTCTGCTGAGTTGTATAGTTAGTAGGTTCGTCTTGTATGTATACACCGCATAGCTGCAGACCACCACACACCCTGATAAACCCTAAACCCTAAACCCTAAACCCTTAAAAATACACATTAACAGTTAAAAATCCTAAACCCTTTTTCTCTAAACCCTAATTAATTGGACCTTGCGTCTCTGTCTCCTGTAGCTATGCAAACCCTTATTAAGGGTTTAGAGAAAGGAGGGGGGAAAAGACAGAAATAAATAATTAAAACATTAAAAAAAAAATAAAAAAAATCCCCTTTTTAGGGTTTAGGGTTTAGGGTTTAGAGTTTATGTCTGGGGTACCTAGAGCAGCGACGACCGGAGCGAACCGAGGTCACTGGATCCCGAACCCTAAACCCTAAACCCTAAACCCTAAACCCTAAACCCTAAACTTTAAGCTTTCATTTAGAAATAATAAAATTCTTAAGTATTTTAAAATACGTATTTACGATCCCCCAAGTAATTGTTTAAGGGTTTAGGGTTTAGGGTTTAGGGTTTAGGGTTTAGGGTTTAGGGTTTAGGGTTTAGGGTTTGCACGGGAACGCCAGACTGTGGGGAAAGAGAACCTCCTAGAAGGATCTTGCGTTACAGTTTTCTACTAAACACTAAACCCTAAACCCTAAACACTAAACCCTAAACCCTAAACCCTAAACCCTAGAACAAGATGACGGTCGCAGGGCGAGGCCGACCGTTGGCGTCAACAGGGGAGGGAGAAAAAAGAAAAAAAAAAAGAAAAAAAAAAAGCAAAAAGAACTAAATAAGTTACCATTAAAAAGAATAAAAATAAATAAATAAATAAATAAATAAATAAATAAATAAATAAATAAATAAATAAATAATAAATATATAATAATTAAATATAATAAAGAAAAGAGGAAATAAACACAAACCCCACAAAGGAAAGAAATAAGCATAAAGGAGACAAAAGGGATAAAAAGGAGACAAGTAAATAAATAAATAAATAAATAAATAAATAAATAAATAAATAAGTAAATAAATAAAGACAAATAAAGAAGGGTAAAAAGAGGTAGAAAGAACAAAGGAAGAGACAAAGGGAGACAAAGAAGGAGACAAAAAGGAAGGGAGAGCAAAACAGCAAACAGTGCAAAGCTATGGGTGTCTCCTTGATCGCATTAGGGTTTAGGGTTTAGGGTTTAAGGTTTAGGGTTTAGGGTTTAGTCGCTTATTTAGATCCTCCAATGCCTAACAGCAGATGGCAAACCCTTGTCTACCCCTCTAGGCAATTATAACCCTCAACGTGGCTAGCTACAGCTAGCTGTGCCTGGCTAGCCGTGGCTAGCCGTGGCTAGCCGTGGCTAGCCGTGGCTAGCGGTGGCTGGCTAGCTGTGCCTGGCTAGCCGTGGCTAGCCGTCGCTAGCTCTGGCTAGCTGTGGCTGGCTAGTTGTGGCTAGCTGTAGCTAGTCAGCCGTGCATAGGTGCAGCTAGCTAGCTAGCTAGGGACAGAATTAAGGGTGTAATGTAGCTAGCTATTTATTAACAAATATTATTGTAAGGAAGATTTAATTAAAAAAAAGAAAAAATAAAGAAAGGGTTTAGGGTTTAGGGTTTAGGGTTTAGGGTTTAGGGGTAATAAAAGAAAAAAAAATAAATTAGGACGGAGATGAGATATACCTCGAGGGTTTAGGGTTTAGGGTTTAGGGTTTAGTGGTAAACCCTGAACAAGGAGGGAACCTGCATAGACAGTAGAGGGAGGTGCGTAGACACCCCAAGAGGGACAAACTGCCTTTTTTATACTGAAAAAGGTTTTGGGTTTGGGGTTTAGGGTTTAGGGTTTAGGGTTTATGGATATATTAAGGTATATTTATATATTTATTGGGGTGTATATACAACTTACATGCATGCATTGGGGTGTATATGCATGCATTTAATTCCTTTATTTGTTCAATGAATTTATTTTTGTGAATTAATTAGTTAATTAATTTATTAATTAATAATTAATTTATCCATCTACCTGCATTTATTTATTTATTTATTTATATGTATTGTTACCAACAAAGGCAGCAGAAGAGTACTAAAGGAATTATGTTAGTGTTTGTGCCTTCCTATACATAGAGAGGAAATTACGAGGGTTTAGGGTTTAGGGTTTAGGGTTTAGAGAGGATAATTAGATATAATAAAAGCAATAAAATTAAAAATAAGAGTAATTAAATAAAATAAAAGTAATTAAATAAATAAAAATAAATAAAAAAGGGAAGAAAAAGAAGAAAAAGGAGAGGGAGCATACAGAAGAGAGCGACGCACAAGATAGAATTGGGGTGTATATACACCTCATGGCATAAAAAAAGAAGAATAAAGTATTTATTATTTAATTAAATTAAATTAAATTATAATTAAATTAAATCAAATTAAATATATTGAATTTATATTATTCTTCTTTATTTATTCTTTTTTCTCTTCCCTTTTTCCTTTTTCTTGCTGCATGCAAGAAGAAGGGGGGGGGCCCCCCTGAGGTGTATGTACACCGCAGATAAGTTTGTTGCTTTTTGTATTTTTTTGGTTCTTTTTCTTCATCATTCCTTTTATTTATTCCTTTTAATTAATAATTTAATAATATATTTTCTTTTATAGGTTATTTTTCTTTTTTTCCCGTCCCTTTTACCCTTTTATTTCCCCTCTTTTCCCTATTAAACCCTTTTTCTTCTTTTTTTTTTTTTTTTTCCTTATAAACC